TCTTTTATGCAGCCTGACCGTGTCACAGAATTTTGTAAGAAAAATAAATTACAGCTCATTATAAGGGCCCATGAGTGTGTCATGGATGGTTTTGAACGATTTGCCCAGGGACAATTAATCACCCTTTTTTCTGCAACCAATTATTGTGGTAAGCATAATTAGTCACCAGCATTCTCATTTCTATGTTATAGCATTTCAATCTCATGCTGGGTGTGTTATATAGGAACTGCAAACAATGCGGGAGCTATACTGGTAGTTGGCAGGGGTTTGGTTGTGGTTCCAAAATTGATTCATCCCTTACCACCTCCCCTTCAGTCTCCTGAGACATCTCCAGAGCGTGTTATGGATGAGACATGGATGCAGGTGAGCCCTTATGCAGTGTCTTTTTTCTCACTGTATTTAACAATTACAGAAGTGAATTTGTTGAATGGTAATTCTCATATTTCTGTGCTCAATTGCTTATTCTAGGAGCTTAACATTCAGCGGCCACCAACTCCTACTCGAGGTCGACCCCAGCCTGACCTTGACCGTGGCTCACTAGCATACATATGATATAATTCATGACATGAATAAATACTGCAAATTGGGGATTTCTCGTCATGGCTTGATATCCTGCCAACCAAAACCAAATGTTGTGTTTGTATACCTGTCATTGTTAACAGAATACATATTTTGTACTGTATTTCTTTTCTAGTTGCAGAAAAGCAAACTCTCATTAGCATGCAAATAGCCCGAGAGTGCATTATTTTATGTTAGCCAATTAGCGAATGGGTTTATAACTTATAAGGCATGGTACATGGATAAAGTGGAAGAGATGTTAGTGTCTTCTCCCCCTCAACATGGGGGTGAATTACTTAGTGAGGGAATACCGTTGATTAGTATATATATTGTATCATAAATATATATATTTTTTCCTTCATATAAATGTTTATACATTTGGGTTAATCGTGCTTCAAGTCTCAAAGTTTGAATTACGGTCTAGCGTCTCGCAAACGGAGGGATTGTTTCCTTTATTTCACGTGGAAAGTGGGCAATTCTTAAGGTTATGAAAGTATTCTCGGTCCACTGAAAAATAAATAAATAAATACCCCAACGAAATATGAAGAGGTAGTATTCCTTTCTATTCATCTTGGATATAAATAAGAAAACTATCATATTTCTTTTCCGGTGTTTGGATTTACACATGGGGATTTACGTTTTCATAGGAATGAATTTTCTCAAATGAGATTTTTACTTGGATCTTCTTTGGTAAAATATTTTCACCATCAAAACTCTATTTTTTTTATTATTCATATTTCTTTTCTTTTATTTTTGATTAAGGATTAAGATTTTATTGAACAAAAACATCTTATAAGAGAATTTAAACGTTTTGAGACCAAGTTAGCTAAAAGTTGCAGTAGAGTGCGTTTGCATGTACGTCAAAGACATGACTATTTACAACTAATTGAAGCCATGTTTTGTTGCTTCTGTCTTCTGTTACCTTCCTGTTCGGGTGTGGAGAATGGAGGTAGGTCTTCGTTTTCAACTCTATTCTAAACATTCACGAAATTTTTTCTTGCTTCTGAGTTATAGCAAGTATGCTGTGCCAAGAATTGACCCTAGTATGTGAGTATTCGTATTAAGCACTTCATTGAAAACTTATTAATAAGGAATCAATTTAATATCCCAAAAGAAAGGAAGGCAATCAACTAATCTTTCACATAATAAAGATCATTGATGTAACAATTTTCACTAATATCTTCTAAGTGCGTGTGTGTAATTCTCACTAATATTTCCTAAGTGTGTGTTTGACATAATAAAGATCATTCATGTAACAATTCTCACTAATAACTCCTAAGTAAGTGTGTTGTGTGTGTGTAATTCTCACTAATATCTCCTAAGTGTGTGACATGATAAAGACCATTCATATAACAATTCTAACTAATATTTCCTAAGAGTGAGTGTGTGTATGTAATTCTCACTAATATCTCCTAAGTATGTGTGTGACATGATAAAGACTATTCACGTAACAATTCTTACTGATATTTCTTAAGTAAGTGTGTGTAACATGATAAAGACCATTCATGTAACAATTCTCACTAATATTTCCTAAGTGTGTGAGTGAGTGTGTGTGTGTGTCCATATGCAAGTGTAATTCAAATACAAAGTGTAAATTTTTTTTAGTAAGTAATATATAATTGATTGACTCTTCAAATGTCATACATAAGTTTAAATTTAAACAACAAAGGTCTACAATGTATGAAATAAAAACCCATGTCCCAATGTCACAATATTATGAAAGCAAGATAACCTAAAAACAACAATACTACCAAGGCCTAAGCCTTACCTCCAACACTATCATCCAATTGAGCCTTACTTGCAAATGTCATTCAAACAAAACAAACACAAGGGAGTAAGATTCATATCACTACATGCTTCTGAATTGACAAAGGTAGGGTACCAACAAACATACAAATAACAACATAACTATTTAATTCAAGCTCATCAAGATAATATTTTACGTCATGTAATGTCTCTTTAATCTCTAGTGTAGTTAAGCATGTAGCATTAATATCAAAATCTCAATTCTCAAATATATAGAGTAGTCTAAGAACAAATGATAGTCAACAAAACACTCAGTCATAAGTATTTCACACAAACACTTTCAACTAGGGTGATATCCAACAACTATGTGTTAGGGTTACAAAGTCTTGTAAAGATACTTCGACCTAATGGGATCAACATAAGCCATGTAGAGATTTCAAATCAAGTATACTCCAAATGCCCAAATCTAAAGATTTGTAGGGACCTACTTGGCACAAGATTCACTTTCATACCTCAAAACTTACTTTCATACAAAAATGTTCATACATATTTCATATTGTCTTGACAATCTTAAAATTCTTGTTTACACATTTCTCAAATATTAGTTCTCAATTCTTATATTTCAATATTCTCATCTCTTGTATCTTAGGTTTATCAATTCTTAGTTATATAAGGTTCAATTTGCAATTAATTCCCTACATCTTATATCTCATCTCTCAAGGAACTCATATTTAGCATCAAGTACTTCTCACTCAAGATGGAGAGGCAAAAAAAAATACGAGGTGTTTTTTATGGCTCTCCCGCTTAGCATTATAGTACCTTCGCTTGACACCAACAACTATAGCACAAGAGTTGCTCTATATGGGCCTCATGCTTAGTCAACTCCATCTTGATGGCAGAGGCATAGCCCAAGGGACCTGCCACTAAGGCCAGTGCTATAAGGTTAGTGGACTTAAGCTTCTCTTGAGTTGGGCTAAATCCCAACACTTTTCTTTATTTTGGGCCTTGTAGTGTAGGATTTTAGGCCTTGATTAGATTTGTATTTTTGGACTTTGTATTTTTGGCTTAATAGTATACTTATTTTTGGGCCTTGTATATTGGGCCATGTAGCATAAGAAATTTTGTATTTTGGGGTTAGAAGCATGCAAATGCATTCCATGACATTTAAGTTACATTTTTCATTTGAATTTATTCACCATGTGATCGATCATGTGAAGGTGTCCATTGCATGAGCAAATTCAAATGCTAATGGAGCCTGAATGACATCCTAATGCATGCATTTAACTTCCTAGATCTAAAAGTACATGGGTGCACATGAGAGGGAGAAGCTCGTGGCCATTTTAAATTTTGAATTCAAATTTGGGTGCTAGCTTCCTTAGTTAGGCTCCCATAGTTCATTTGAACCATGGTTAATCTAGCTTGTTCCATAAGCTTCACTATATCTATTTAAACATTTTTCTTGTAAGTTTCGGCCACTTTTGAAGATTTATGAGCATTCATCACTTGAATTCTCTCTTCCTTCTCTCAAGAGTGCCTTTGGAGAATCAATCTCCTTAAGCTCTTCCAACAAGGAATCCTTCCCTATGGAGTAGTGTTACTTTGCTTGCTTCTCCTTATCAAGGAGAATTGGCACACCTTCTACACCATTTCCTTCACATTTTTGTTCGGTTAATTCCATTGATTTTGCATCAAGGAAGAGAAATTGAAGGTCTTAAGAGCTTCTAGAGGAGAATCATCACCTATCTCACCTTAGACGTTCTGTCACATCTTGTGCTTAGTGTCAAAATCATTGAAACTCATTATGATTATGGTGCTTAGCGAGACATTGCTCTCATTTTAGGTCAAAAATCATAAAAATCTTATGTAAAATGACGTTCAGTGAAAACTATACTCACTTAGCACCTATTAAAGGGTCATTCTCTAAGCATGAGATGTTGCGTTGAGGTCTAACCTCGTTACCCTCAATCCAAATCACACCTATGATAATAAAGATGCGAAACCATAATTCTCTCACTGAAATTCTTGATCTTTTGTTAGCGTTTCTAATGACAATAATTTCTAAGAGAAAAGAAACAAATATAAGTACCATAGAAATATCAATCTCAAAATCTTAATAATTATAAAAGGATGTGTTGGGCATATGAAGACAAAACTTCAAATCTTATTTTTAAGAAAAAAAACATAACAACTCATTTGTCTATCCATTAAACTCAAAATACATATCATTTAATTAAAAATCATAAAATTACTAATATAAATATATAACTTTTTATAGAAAAATCAGAATGAGATAAAAAAAAATTGAAGAGAGAAATGAGAAAGAAGAGCAGAAAGGGAGTGAAGAGAGAGAGATAAATAAAAAATTTTAAAAAATTTCATGAAATTGTTAGATGAGTTCCAATATTTATAAATTTTATAACATTTCATAAAATTTATTTTACAAAATAATCCATTAAAGTGTGTGTATTTTAAATATTAAAAAACTTTCTAAGTGTAAAAGAGTTTTGATGGAATATTTATAAATTTGGAGACTCTTTGAAATATTTTGATTAAATAGCACAAATTTATGTATAATATTAAAAGGTGCTCATTAAGCACCGCCATTAAAAAAATAAATCCTAATTTAATTTAAAAAAAGGAGTTGAAATAGCAAAAGTGAGGGGTGTCAAAGTAAAGAAAGTACCCAATTGAGTAGAGCCGCTCTTAAACCCTAAACCAGGGCGTAAGGTGTTGCATAGCGCAAGAATGGAGGAAGCAAGAGTTCAGAGGAGCTTCCCCGTGAAGCCGAAGCTGAAATCGAAAGCCAGAACCCCAAAGCAAACAGCAGAATCCAAATACTGGTCCTCCTTCAAGACCCAACAAATCCCCGACCTCATCTCCGTCCCTTCCCTCACCTTCTCCCCCACCGCCCCTCACTCCTTCGCCGCCGCCCACTCCGCCTCCCTCACCCTCTTCAGCGCCCAAACCCTCGCCCCCACCGCCACCATCTCCTCCTTCTCCGACGCCGTCTCCTGCGCCTCCTTCCGCTCCGACGCCCTCCTCCTCGCCGCCTCCGACCTCTCCGGCCTCGTCCAGGTCTTCGACGCCAAATCCCGCACCCCCCTCCGCCGCCTCCGCTCCCACACCCGCCCCTGCCGCTTCGTCCACTTCCCCCGCCTCGACAAGCTCCACCTCATCTCCGCCGCGGACGACGCCCTCGTCAAGCTCTGGGACGTCGCGGAGGAGACCCCCGTCGCGGAGTTCCTCGGGCACAAGGACTACGTCAGGTGCGGTGATTCCTCCCCTGTTAATTCCGATGTCTTTATCACCGGTTCCTATGACCACGTCGTCAAACTCTGGGACGCTAGGGTTGGGGATTCCAAATCGTCTTTGCAGCTCAACCACGCCGCCCCCGTCGAGGATGTCGTTTTCCTGCCGGCCGGAGGAATGGTCGCCACGGCGGGCGGAAATTCCGTCAAGCTCTGGGACCTCATCGGCGGCGGGAAGCTCGTGTACTCCATGGAGAGTCACAACAAGACGGTGACGTCGATCTGCGTGGGGCGTGTTGGGAGGGATTTCGGCGAGGAATCGAATCAATTTAGGATCATGAGTGTGGGGTTGGATGGTTACTTGAAGGTGTTTGATTATGGAGCATTGAAGGTTACACATTCCATGAGGTTCCCTGCGCCGCTTTTGTCTGTTGGTTACTCGCCGGATTGTTCTACCCGCGTGATTGGGACCTCCAATGGGGTTATCTATGCTAGCAAGAGGAGAGTTAAGGAAATTGAGAAGGAGAAGGTGAGTGAGTCCAGCTTGTTTTGGAGAGTTGCTCCATTGGAGCACACTGAGAAGAAAGTGTTGAGGCCTTCGCATTTTAGGTATTTTCGTAGAGGGCAGGGAGAGAAACCGAGTGAGGGGGATTACTTGGTTATGAGGCCCAAGAGGGTGAAGTTGGCTGAGCATGACAAGCTTTTGAATAAGTTTAGGCACGGGGAGGCTCTGGTGTCTGTGTTGGAAAGTAAGAATCCTGGGAATGTGTTGGCTGTAATGGAGGAATTGGTGGCTAGGAGGAAATTGCTCAAGTGTGTGTCCAACTTGGATGTGGAGAAGCTGGAACTGCTCTTGGCGTTCTTGCATAGGTATTGTACCACCCCTAGATATTCCAGATTGTTGATGGGATTAACCAAGAAGGTTCTTGAAATGAGAGCAGATGATATTAGAGGTTCTCAAGCCCTCAAGAATCATGTTAGAAATCTCAAGAGATCTGTTGAGGAGGAGATTCGGGTTCAAATGTCGTTGCAAGAAATACAGGGTATAATTTCCCCTTTGTTGAAGATTGCTGGAAGATGAAATTTTGGGCTTCTCATCTTTTGAGCTGCTGTGCTTTTGTTATACTATCCTCTTTTTTATTTTTTACATTTTTGTTTTAGAATGTATTATTTATTTTGGTAATTTGGTTCGAGCAATGTTAGTTTCTCCTAAAAATTTGCTGGCAACTGTAATCCTTGGAAAGCATCAGGAAACATTTTAAGTTATTGACAATGTTCAAGGGGCTCTACTTACATTTTCATCCATGGTCTCATTTAGCGCCTACATATAACTTTGTTTTGTATGATGTCCCTCAGAACTTGCATATCTTTTAGTTTATGAATTGGAGGGTGGGATAAGATCTTGCCCTCTTAGGGTATTTTTCCGGAGGACCAAAATTGAATTGAATATCTAATTAATGTAGCTATTTTCACTGTACATGATCACTTCTTGGATTGGATGAAACTTTAGAAGGCACTAGGATCTACAAACTGCAATACTTATGCCAAAATTCTGAACCAGACCTAAATGCATGCCTTGTAAAAATCGAAAGAGAACAGCATTAGAATCATGCGATACATGGCTAAACCAGTCATTAAGGTGCAGCAAGAAGCTTCAAAACATATATAATCAGCATTTAGATTATATGGAGGCACCATGTACTTAAATAGATCTCTATGTGCTGCTAAATTAGATCTCTCTGTGCACCTAGTTTGCAGGCATGCATATTTTCTAGCAGCCAACTGTTACCCTCTTAGATAAAGATGCAATGTGCTATTATATTAAATTGATGTAACCTTGGCTGCTACCCTCTTAGATAAAGATGCAATGTGCTATTATATTAAATTGATGTAACCTTGAATTGCAGAATGACAATATATCCAATTTGTTAAGAATTTACTAATTTTCAGGAAGTGATTTATGAAAGTGCGTCTTTGCTACGTTCATCAAGTTTGTAATATAATAACATCACTCCTTTCTTAAGAGGGTGGCTCATTTGCTTATGACTGTTTATCTAGAAAAAGTCAAGTTGGGACTGAACTCAGCGATTTTTTTAATCATGGACTTAATCACAACGAGATATTTTATACATTCAATAAGTCAGATATGTTTGCAGGTTATGTGGATCAAGTAACCAATTTGATAAACCATCTGCTTAGTTTCATCCAATGATTTAGCAATTAGCATAATCAATTCAAATTAGAATAAAGAACATTGAAAATACTACTAGAACGGCAGTTTTCCGTTGGAAACCTCAACCTTCATGCTTACTTCACTGCTATGCCTATGTGATGGTAGAATGGAATATTTGAATGCTGATGCTGTAAGCCTGTAATAGTTACAGAACTACACACAATTGGCTGTTACTTCACAGATTTGATCTCTAGGTCTAGTTTCCTTGTGAAGCTAGTGCTCTCAAGGATTATTTTGGAGATACTAAGTTTGAACTTGATATTGGTAGCCTAAGTGTCTGTGATCTCTTTATATCTCTAATTCCAAGGTATATTTGAAGCTAGGTTCTACTTCCGACTATAGCATGTTTGTATTAATTAATAATTATTTTCTTAGCTTTTAGATGTTGCTGAGTTAGGGAAAG